CCTCGGGCAGTGGCGGCTGGCCCTCCTCACCCGCTGCGGGCGCTGGGGTAAGGGCAGGCGGGGAGACGGGAGGCGGGGGCGGCATGGCTGCGGCTCCCTCGGCCTTGGCAGAGCCCGCGGTGCCTGCCGTTATCACAGGGACCCCCTCCATGCCGGGGGTAGGTACCAGGCGAGGCGAGACCGAGACCAGGTGGCTCGATAACGCGGGAGTTCCGCCCGCCTGCCTGAGCTGACAGTGCGCAGGCGTGAGAGGCCTGCAAGGCCCACTGGGAAATGTGGTTCACCACCCCGCACCTAAGCCGGGGCGTAGGCGGAGCCGCTCAGGTATATGGGGCGGGGCTTGCAGGCCGCATCTTAGAGGAATCTCACCCATTTTTTTTTCCTTTGAAAGGCTGTCGCTCTCTGCACTGCCTTCTGAAAACGACGGAATTGGTACCTTTTAGACAACAATATTCTGTTTGCACTGACTGATGCACAGAGCACTGAAATAGGGGCTATAACCATGCTGCATTACGAATAATAATGATTTCAATTTGAGTACCAATTATGCGTTTCTTCCATGCAAGATTATTTCCGTTAGGAAGTACTTAGTTTCTATTTTGAAATATGTAAGTTTATTTATTTGGAGGAATTAACGCTTGTATTGCCACAGGGTGGAAATTTAATCACAATTTGAAGGCCATCTATAATTTCCCATCACATAAAGGAAAGTCAATTATATTTAATTCAACAAACATTTATTAAGAGTCTGCTGTAGGGACTTCCCTGGTGACACAGTGGTTAAGAATCCGCCTGCCAATGCAGGAGACACGTGTTCGAGCCCTGGTCCGGGAAGATCCCAGATGCCACGGAGCAACTAAGCCCGTGCACCACAACTACTGAGCCTGCGCTCTAGAGCCCGCAAGCCACAAGTACTGAGCCCGCGTGCCACAACTACTGAAGCCTGCGCGCCTAGAGCCCGTGCTCTGCAACAAGAGAAGCCACCGCAATGAGAAGCCCGCGCACCACAACGAAGGGTAACCCTGGCTCGCCGCAATTAGAGGAAGCCCGCGCGCAGCAACGAAGACCCAACACAGCCAAAACTAAATTTAAAAAATAATTAATTAATTAAAAAACGAAAAAAAACCCTAAGAGTTACCATACAGGGAATTCCCTGGCTGTTCAGTGGTTAGGATTCCACGCTTCCACTGCAGGGGGCACAGGTTCAATCCCTGGCTGGGGAACTAAGATCTCGCATGCATGCCAAAAAATAAAGTTACCGTATAACCTAGCAATTCCACTCCTAGGTATATACTCGAGAGAAGTGAAAATATATGTCCCCACAACGCCTCTTACATGAATGTTCATAGCAGCATAATTTACAGTAGCAAAAAACATTCCTATATCGATCAAGATAATGGATAAATAAAATGTTACATATCCATTCAGTGGGATATTATTTAGCCACAAAATGAAATAAAGTACTGATACATGCTTCAGCATGGATGAACTTTGAAAACGTTATGCTAAGTGAAAGGAGTCAGTCATAAAGGACCACATATTGTATGGCTTTGTTTATATGAAATGTCCAGAAGAGGCAAATCCATAGAGACAGAAAATAGAGTAGTGATTGCCTATGGCTGACATGATGGGGGTAAATGGGGCGTGTATTTTTAATGGGTACAGGGTTTCTTCTGGGGGTGATGAAAAGCATGAAAATTTAATGTGATAATGGCTGCAAAAAAAATTGGATTGTATACTATAAATGTGTGAATTTTATGGTATGTGAATTACACTCAATAAAGATAGTTAAAAGTGAGAGTAAAATGGCAAATATGAAAATAGTACATTATGATTACATTAAACTTTTTCTTCAAAATTATGTTCAAAAAAGAGGTCATAAAAATTGTGTAATAGAAATAATTCCCGAATTAAAAAAAAGTCTTCACATAAGATGACACTGGACCAAAGAAACAGAGACTAAATAAGACTAAGCACAGTTTTTCTAACATGCTTTCGTGAACCCACAGATATATGTCTGGTACACATCATCATGTGTTAAGGAATGTTAGATAGCCCCTTCCTGTTCTTAAAAAATAAATAAAATAGTTAAAGGGGGTTTTGTGTGTGTGTGTGCTAATGAAATGAAATGTCTCCAACTGATAGTTCTGAGATCCAAATATTTTAAAGTGTATAAGGAAGAGTCTTGTCATTTGGGGTGGGCGTGTGGATACATTGGTAGACACAATGTTGGTTTAGCTTAATATAGATGCTCTGCAAGATACTTAGATACTCGGCAAGATAAAGCAACCCATGGCTTCCTGGTTGAGACTACTATCATAAGGACCCACTGAGGAAAGAAAAGGAGCCAGTTTGTGGTAAACCACTGCAAGATAGTTAAGTAAAGCAACAATCTCCTTAAGATCACTTTGGGTCCAGATAGGTAGAGAACACGTTAACCAACAGCTGAAAGTGAATACTTTTGCATATCCTGTATAAGTCACCCAAGCAGCAGTTTCTCGGGTTTGGGAGTTTGTTTTCACTTCATTTTCCCCTTGTAAGAAGATATGCTGTTGTTCCACTGGAAAATATTGGAATTCTGAGGAAAAACCTCTACCAGGTGGGAGTCAGAAAAGACTTGAAGAGCTGATAGCTTCCTTTCAGACATGGCTTTGGCAAGTCCTATAAATACTTGTAAATGACAGAAGAGCTTGCACTTTGAAGCATAGTGGTCCATGCCCTGCAGAATATTCAGGCAGGAGGGGACAAAGCATCAGTCAGCCACACACCCCAGTAAGGATGGGCTCCCACAGAAGAGCCAGGTCAGGGCTCCAGCATTGTAGGAGAAGTGGGTCATGCTTATCTCGCTCCATGAAGAACAGTGTATCTAGACAGAGAGAGAGACAGTTTGATGCCAGTACCAAGTCTGCAGGCCAGCAACATTGGCTTTGGATATAGGCACCTGCTGGGCATAGTAAACAGGACATGTTCTTTCATAAGTCAGGGCCTGTCACAGACCCAGGCACAGGAGCTGGAGAAGTGGGGAAATGGTCACTCCCTTATAAGATAAAAATGTGCTAGTCATTTAAATTTCCTCATGATGAGCGAGATCACCCCTTCTCTTTATTATGAAGGGCTGTGTTGGCATGGATGAAGATCAGTGGCTGCCTGATGTCTGCTGCCTGTTCCACAAGTCACACCATGTCCTATTAATAGACCAAGCAACACAATCTACAATAAACACAAGTTATTGAAAACATAGAGTATTTACTAGAGGAGGCAGCAATAGCACCTGGAAAGATGTTGAGGAAACCAAATAGTTGACCTGAGAGCATTAAATAGGAAACCAATACCCTAGAACAGAGATTGGCAAATTTTTTTTCTGGAAAGGTCCATATGTAATAAATATGTTTGGCTTTGTGAGCCATACAGTCTCTGTTGCAACCCCTCAACTCTGTGGCTGTAGCACAGAAGCAGCCATAGATAATATATAAACAAAGAATTCCGTGTGCCAATAAAACTTGATTTATAAAAACAGGCAGGCTTGGGAATTCCCTGGTAGTCCACTTGTTAGGACTCCATGCCCTTACCCTGGGGGTGTGGGTTCAATCCCTGATCAGGGAACTAAGGTCCCACAAGCTGCATGGTGCGGCCAAAAAAAAAAAAAAAAAAAGGCACGTTTGCTGACTCCTGCTGTAGAACAACTAACATCCTAGAATTAGGTGTGGACTCCCACACCAGCTGATAAGCTAACCTATGGAGAGAGAAGATATAATAGGAGTAAACCGTATGAAAATGGAGGTTGGGGGAAGTGCTGCCTAGGTAAAGTGGGTAGTAGATGAACGGGAGATGAGATTGGAGAGAGAGGCTTCAGCTTAGGCAGGAGCCTGGGGACCAAGGGAAAGAATTTGTATATTATTATAACTGGGGTGAGAAGGCACTGAAGGGTTATAGGCATGTAAAATTTTAAATAAAATTACATTTCAAAAAATCACTCTACCTACTGGGTGAAAAAGAGGGGATGTGGTAGGCTGAAACAAGACCCCCAGGAGGATATCCACATTGAATCCCTGGAACCTGTGAATGTTACCTATTTGAAAAAAGGATCTTTGCAGATGCAGTTAAAATCTTGAGATGAGGATCTAACCCTGGATTATCCAGGTGGGCCCTAAATACAATGACACATGTTCTCTTAAGGAAAGGCAGAGGGAGATTTGAGACAGACAGAGGAGGAAAACAAACAGACACACAGAGAAGGTAATGTGAAGACAGAGGTAGAGATTGGAGTAGTGTGGTCACATGTCAAGGAACACCAAGGAATGCCAGTAAATACCAGAAGCCAGACGAATCAGGTTTCAATTCACACCCCCCCACACACACAGAACCTCCAGAGGGAACGCGGCCTTGAAAACACCTTGATTTCAGATTTCTGGCATCCAGAACTGTGAGAGAATAAATTTCTGTTGTTTAAAGCCACCAAGTTTGAGATTTCAGTTTTATTGGCCATGCCGCGCAGCTTGTGGGATCTTAGTTCTCTGACCAGGGATCAAACACGGGGCCACGGCAGTGAGAGAGCCAGGTCCTAACCACTGGACCACCAGGGAATTCCCCTGTGATAATTTGTTATAGCAGCCTCAGGAAACTAATACAGAGAGTAACAAAAGAAGTAAAGAGATCCTTTAGGAGCCTCCTGCAATAATCCAGATGACAGTTGCTAATTAATGGTCTGGTCTAGGATGGCAGTGAAGAGGGAAATATGTTGCCAAAATAGAGATTTATTTCAAACTAGGACTTGGAGGAGATTGGATATGGATTAATGAGTAGTGGCTTGAGAAACCTGGATGATGGCAATGCCAATTACTGAGACAGGGAGGGAGCAAGTATGGAGTTCAGTTTTGGATACACTGGGTTTAAAATGCTGGATAATCATCAAGAGGAAATATAGAACAAAGTGTTAGAGATACAAGAGAGAGGTATGGGCTAGAGATAAAAATTGGATGGTCCTTGATATTTAAATCCCGTGGAAATCAGTGAGATAACGTAAGGGGAAAAACACAGAGAGTGAACAGGGTCCTGGATCTAGCCCTGAAGAACATCAATGTTTAAAAGCCAGATAGATCCAGCAATTACACTTGGGGGTATATACCCAAAATAACTGAAAGTAGGATCTCG